AATAGGGAAACTCATGTTAAGAGTTCAGAATAGTGCTAATTATATGCCAAATTGGCAGATGGAGGTACCCAATCATTATTTCTTGTTAATATTTTGGTTCATTCCTTAACATCTTATTAAATCATGATATACAAGAACGTTCTGATGAAAGAACTTGGTCCAAATTGGAAAAATAATTTCCTAAATTTTGACCCTACGCCAATGGCCGCCGCATCAATAGGTCAAGTGCACAGCGCGCAACTCGCTTCATCAGGAATACCGGTAGCCATCAAAATTCAATATCCCGGTGTTGTTGCATCCATAGACTCCGATCTTAATAACCTGCGAATGTTAGTAAGGGCCAGCAATTTACTACCTAAAGGTCTTTATCTTGATAATACTATAAAAGTGGCCAGGCGAGAATTAGCGTGGGAAACTGATTATGTTAGGGAAGCCGAGTGCATGGAAAGATTTCGGGATTTATTGAAGGATGATAAGAATTTTTCGGTGCCTCAAGTAGTTAAAGAATATTCCACAAAGATGGTGCTGACAAGCGAAAGAATGATGGGCGAGTCATTGGCTTATGCGGTTAACTATAATCAGGAACTGAAAGACTGGGTAAGATTCTTTTGGGTTATTGATTTTACGAAGAACAACTTCACTTTTGGAATTAAATTGATTTCACATTCAGATAGGAGAAAACATCCTGCGCCTTTGTTTACGAGAACTATTCGAGTTCAAGTTTATGCAAACTGATCCCAATTGGACAAATTTCCTTTACAACGCTAATACTCAAAAGGTTCGACTCAAAAGTTTCAATAGATACGCAACCCATGTCTCTAGAGATAATTTACTTGATTATATTATTTGATCTTCCGCAGATTGAGTTAGTAGATTTTGGGGCGAGCAGAAGTTTTGATGATCATTTCACGGAATGTTACTTGGAAATATTGAAATCTGCGGCAAATCGGGATAGAGAAGGATGTGAACATTATTCCCAGAAGATTGGTTTCTTGACGGGAATTGAAACCGAGGTAAGATCTGCAAACAGTAATTTACTACTGATGTGTATTCTAATATTAATTCGAGAACGTCAATTTGTCTCGTAAATTCAAGTAACGATTAAAATGTACATGAACCTTGAATTTTATTTAATTCTGTTTCATGCTTTTATTCATCATAGACAATGAAGAATGCTCATGTAGATTCGATCGTAACACTGGGAGAGCCGTTTTCAGTTGCAACCTATGATTTTTCGAAACAAACGATCACCAACAGAATAAGAAATTTAATACCGACTATGCTGAAGTACAGATTAACGCCACCGCCAGACGAAACATACAGTTTACATAGGAAATTGTCTGGTTCATTTTTATTATGTGCCAAATTGGGAGCGAAAGTTAGGTGCAGAGAAATTTTCGAAGATGTTGTTGGAAAGATTTGAAGTGGTGTAAAGTGAATTTGGAACAATGATGCAGCATAGAAATCTTGTGATATGTAAACATGTCTTTGGTAACGAAATAATAAAATATTACAGTACTTTTCACATTAAAATTTTTACTTATTATTAATAATTGCTATAACATAGATTGTTTCCAAAATAATAAATTAAAAAGAATCTTTGGTAATTATTTGGATGTGAAAATTTGTTTTCTTTATTCCTTTCAGTATTGATAAGGCTTGAATATTCATAGATTATTACCACGGTTATAATACTAATTATATGTTATATAATTTATTAATTATTTTTTTATGCAGCACTATTACAGTATAATTAAAATTCTCCGGTCATGTGATACAAAGTATGAAGTTGATACAGTAGAAACACCATAAACTTAACGAGTTAATAAAAGATACTTCACGTAATGAATAAGTAATGTGATGAGTAAACAATTAGTGAATGGTTTGAAATAAACGTTATCTATTATATCCTTTAAAACATGTGTTTTTTAAATAAAAATAATAATTTAATTTAATTTAATTTAATTTAATTAATTATTGATTAATTTATTAATTGACACTGTTATAAATTAAATAATTAATTATAAGCTTAATATTATATACTGTGATTAAAACAAACAAAAAAAAGTTTTTTCAAATAATAGAATGCCATTAAAAAATTTTTTTTTCTTTTCAACTTTCAAATTAACAAAATCATATTGTAATATTTTTGAAAATATAATTTTTGCTAATAAAAATGTCACATATATAATTTTTGCTAATAACAATACTAAAAATATATTTTTTATTATTTATAAACAAGTATTATAAATAGTAATACCACATAAATTTTTTGATAAAATAAATATCCAATACTATATGTTTTATTTAACTTTATTGAAATAATATATAAAATATAATTATATATATTGTTATAGAAAAAAGTAATAAATAAATAATAGAAAATTATAAAGACAACATAATAAACATATTAGGTATAATAAGTTTATTAAATAAAAAAAAATATGTCATATAAAAATAAAAATATATATATAGTATAATAAATAATTTAAAAATAATAAAAAATAAAAAAAATAAAATAAAAATAGATACTATACAAATATTAATTAATAAAAATTATTTTTTATTAATAATCTTTGTTTTATAAAGACTAGTGAATCAATAGTACAATAAATAGTGCTTCCTGGTCTCCAAATACATATCTTTAGTTTAATATTCACAAGAAGCAAAATATATAAATTTATTCTTTATTTGTAGATTTACAGATTTTCCTATAAATGTTGTATCCAAACATTTAAATCTTAACCAAATTTAATTAGACTGTATAAAAATAGAACTCTGATTTTTCTAATGATTATAGACTGAAAACAGATTAAAGCAGAAAATATTATATAAGGAAAGACTTCTGATTTAACTTTGATAATAAGCTCACATCCCTTCTAATAAAAATATATTTCTAAATTATTTAGTATATAAAATTTTGCAAATTAATTATGTCTCTTTTAAAGGGATATAATTATTTATTTATTATTTTAATAGGGACATAATTCAAAAAACATTTGGATCAAGTAGCCTAAATTACAAAAAACCTTTATAAATAGTTTTTTTTTAATCTTATATTTTAAAAAAAACTTTTTTAATAGTAAGAAATATTTGAATTATATTCTTATCTTTAATTTAAAAATCCATCTTTACCTCTTGGTACAATAAACTCTATAGTATAACTTATTAATACAAGTAAGGAATCTTAAAAAAATCATCAATGTGAATACTAACATATGATATAAATGATATATTTACACTATCTATATATAGAAGTTGTGCGCTGCTTGATATTTATATCTCTAGATTTGGTAGTTTAAGCCAACTGAATTTTCTTAAAGTGTTTATTAAAAGAAAAATAATATCATATCTTACTTGATATTTATGCCCCTAGATTTGATAGCTTGTGCCAATTAAGGATTATAGTTTTAAAATATCTACTGAAAGATATATATATATATAGGATCTCTATTTATAATTACATAAGCTGAAAACATGAAATAAAAAAATAATTTATCAAAGTATTAACATATGTTTCCATAATAGACTATATCTTAGTCTTAACAAAAAAAGGTGATTGGGATATCTTTGAATTGGCTTGTATAAAAAGGTTACCCTTATATACTCTTTGACAAAAATTGGATTAGTAGATTAAGTAGTTTAAACTGATGACAGGATTTCTATCTTCTGTATAATCCTACTTAACATGTGAACCTATTTTTTTTTCAGGTAAAGAGTACATATAGCACATAAACTTTATTGAGTGATTTATATCCAATTATATGACTACAAGGTCCATTTAAGTTAACTCGTACTTCCACCTATAGCCTTACCCAGTTATACTGATTTATCTATCATGGAGGTAAATCCGCATATCAGATAGGATCTTTAGGAGATAGAAATCCTATCACTAGTTTTAAACTATTTAATCTAATCTAAATTCTGGCAGTAGTCATTTAGAGCATGTACCTTTCAGGATTAGTTAGAATATCCAGATAACTCGTTTAATACTTTTTGCCTGGTTTCTTAGAGAAGGTACTGTACTCTTTGTTATCACCTGTAGTTTTCAACTTTTCTTGTAGGAATCATTTTCTTTTAAGCAAGTATTAGATTGGTATAGCCCCAGGCTAAAGTGTTCTTTGTGCTATGGAGTTTGCTGTGCCAGGGGGTTTGTGGGCTTTTATCAAAGTTAGACCAGAAGCCTTTTTTGTGCAACCTTCCCTGCTTCAACCTATTTTTAACCCACGATTATCAGAAAGACCAAAGATCCCATCTTCATACAGTCTAACTGGATTTGATCAGGATCCAGATGTCTGGATATGATATTTGTGGTA